TATTCACAGTGCTCTGACAGCATTCTCACTTGTTTGCCTAATTCTCTGTATTAATTTCCTGCAGAGTGTAGGAGAAGAAAATTTAACTTTATGAGAAAGACAGTAAGTATTTTACACTTGCAACCCCTTTATCCTGGAAGTTGTTCATGGATTGAAGAGGCATAACAGGCCCTGTTCAAATGGCATTACAGTGGTACCTCGGGTTAAGTACTTAATTTGTTCCAGAGGTCCGTTCTTAACCTGAAACTGTTCTTAACCTGAAGCACCACTTTAGCTAATGGGGCCTCCTGCTGCTGCCGCGCCGCCGGAGCACAATTTCTGTTCTCATCCTGAAGCAAAGTTCTTAACCCGAGGTACTATTTCTGGGTTAACGGAGTCTGTAACCTGAAGCGTATGTAACCTGAAGCGTATGTAACCTGAGGTACCACTGTACACTTATTGGAACCTGAAATCCAGCAATGATGGCTCACCTTCATGGTCTTGAAGCATATCCACATGAGCAAAAGATCCTCCCACCTTTTCCTAATGAACATTGTGCCGCCCACAATTCTTTATTTTCCCCTTTATAGGAAACTTACAGGCACGCATACATTTTTCCTCAGAAAAATGATCTAAGTTGAGCTCACCATCTTTGTTTTTAACAAAACCTTTAAAAAGATGGAAGATATAATCATGGAACTTCAGCATTGTCTAGTTTGGCCCTCAGGCAAAATTCCCAGCCTTTGCTGCTGTGAATACTTGAGATTGATCCTGGGATCATCTGGCATGCTAGGCTTGCAACTTGACTTCTCCGCGACCCTTCCCCTCTGCAGGGAGGTGGGACCGATTCGGATGGTCCGCCCCCGCCACTTAATGGATCCAAATGGTTTCCAGAGAGTGGTAGGGGATGCTTTATCCCATGTTGATGGCCTTTCAGCTGATTCCCTGGTGGCCCGCTGGAATGTGGACTGTTTGGCTCCGAAGTGCCCTCTCCGATTGCATGGAGCCCGGACAGCCCCGTGGTTTTCCACGGATCTGAGGGCAATGAAACAATCATTGAGACGGCTAGAGCGCCGGTGGCGGATGACCCATTCTGAAGCTGACCGGACACAGGTTAGAGCTCAATGTCGAGCCTACCAAGTGGCGGTAGCGACGGCGAAGAAGACTTTCTTCACCGCCTCTATTGCATCTGCAGAAAACAGCAGCAGGAGACTTTTTCAGGTGGTCCACAATTTAGCGGAACCACCTGCTACATCGGGGCCCAGTATGGGCCACACGATCTCCTGCAATGATTTTGCAAAGTTTTTTGCAGATAAAGTCGCTCAGATTTGGGAAGAGGTAGACGGCACCGTGGGAGCAGGGCCGGGGCGGGAGAGTGCTAGAGTCCTGTCTAGTCAAATTGCGTGGGATCAATTCCAATCTGTTACCTCTGAGGATGTGGACAGGCTGCTTGGACGAGTGAAACCAACCACCTCCCTCACGGATCCTTGCCCATCCTTGATCCTTGCCCATCCTGGCTTATAAAAGCTAGCCGGGAAGGGCCGGGCGATGGGCTTTGTGGGGTGGTGAATGCTTCCCTCCGTGAGGGAGCCTTCCCAGACCCACTGAAAGAGGCGGTTATTAAAACGCTTATTAAAAAACCATCTTTAGACCTGGCCAGTATGGCCAACTATCGCCCAGTCTCAAATCTTCCATTCTTGGGCAAGGTGATTGAGCGAGTGGTTGCTGAACAACTCCAGGCACGCCTGGAAGAAGCGGACCATTTGGATCCCTTCCAGTCGGGATTCAGGCCTCATCACGGGACTGAAACTGCCTTGGTCGCACTGGTTGATGATCTCCAGCGGGCTAGGGACAAAGGTGAGAGCTGTTTCCTAGTTCTGCTGGATCTCTCAGCGGCGTTTGATACCATCGACCATAACATCCTTCTGGACCGTCTTGAGGGGCTGGGAGCTGGGGGTACTGTCATACAGTGGTTCCGCTCCTTCCTCCTGGGCCGTGTTCAGAAAGTGGTGGGGGGGATGAGTGTTCAGACCCCTGGGCTCTCACTTGTGGGGTGCCTCAGGGTTCTGTCCTCCCCCATGCTTTTCAACATCTACATGCAGCCGCTGGGAGAGATCATCAGGGGGTTTGGGCTGGGTGTTCATCAGTATGCGGATGATACCCAGCTCTACCTCTCTTTCAAATCAGAACCAGTGAAGGCGGTGATGGTCCTGTGTGAGTGTCTGGAGGCGGTTGGAGGATGGATGGCGGCAAACAGATTGAGATTGAATCCTGACAAGACAGAAGTACTGTTTCTGGGGGACAGGAGGCGAGCAGGTGTGGAGGATTCCCTGGTCCTGAATGGGATAACTGTGCCCCTGAAGGACCAGGTGCGCAGCCTGGGAGTCATTTTGGACTCACAGCTGTCCATGGAGGCACAGGTTAAATCCGTGTCCAGGGCAGCTGTGTACCAGCTCCATCTGGTACGTAGGCTGAGACCCTATCTGCCCGCGGACTGCCTTGCCAGAGTGGTGCATGCTCTGGTTATCTCCCGCTTGGACTACTGCAATGCGCTCTACGTGGAGCTACCTTTGAAGGTGACCCGGAAACTACAACTAATCCAGAATGCAGCAGCCAGACTGGTGAGTGGGAGCAGCCGCCGAGACCATATAACACCGGTCTTGAAAGACCTACATTGGCTCCCAGTACGTTTCCGAGCAAGTGTTGGTGCTGACCTTTAAAGCCCTAAACGGCCTCGGTCCAGTATACCTGAAGGAGCGTCTCCACCCCCATCGTTCTACCCGGACACTGAGGTCCAGCACTGAGGGCCTTCTGGCAGTTCCCCCACTACAAGAAGCCAAGTTACAGGGAACCAGGCAGAGGGCCTTCTCGGTAGTGGTGCCCTCCCTGTGGAACGCCCTCCCAGCAGATGTCAAAGAGAACAACAACTACCAGACTTTTAGAAGACATCTGAAGGCAGCCCTGTTTAGGGAAGCTTTTAATGTTTGATGTATCACAGTATTTTAATATTCTTTTGGAAGCCGCCCAGAGTGGCTGGGGAAACCCAGCCAGATGGGCGGGGTATAAATAATAAATTATTATTATTATTATTATTGTTGTTGTTGTTGTTGTTGTTGTTGTTGTTGTTGTTGTTGTTGTATCACAGGCCTGAGATGCTCTCTTACCTTGCTTTCCATTCTAAAGTCCACAACTATTGCTAAGGCTAGAATGAGAAATCTCTAGATGTGTGCTTGGGTGACTTGTGGTAAGCCACTGTAGCAGAATTACAAGTGTCTGAGCATCCTAACAAATGGACAAGGTATTCTGTGGAGATGGCATCTCAGGGCCACATGCCAGTAGAGTGGAGAAACATTCAATTCACCTGAATGTTGTTGTTTAGTCGTTTAGTCGTGTCCGACTCTTCGTGATCCCATGGACCAGAGCATGCCAGGCACTCCTGTCTTCCACTGCCTCCCACAGTTTGGTCAAACTCATGCTGGTAACTTCGAGACACTATCCAACCATCTTGTCCTCTGTCGTCCCCTTCTCCTTGTGCCCTCAGTCTTTCCCAACATCAGGGTCTTTTCCAGGGAGTCTTCTCTTCTCATGAGGTGGCCAAAGTACTGGAGTCTCAGCTTCAGGATCTGTCCTTCCAGTGAGCAGAGTACTCAGGGCTGATTTCCTGAAGAATGGAGAGGTTTGATCTTCTTGCAGTCCATGGGACTCTCAAGAGTCTCCTCCAGCACCATAATTCAAAAGCATCAATTCTTCGGCGATCAGCCTTCTTTATGGTCTAGCTCTCACTTCCATACATCACTACTGGGAAAACCATAGCTTTAACTATACGGACCTTTGTTGGCAAGGTGATGTCTCTGCTTTTACACCTGAATGTAGTTAACTAAAAGTGGGCAATGAAAGCGGTGAGGGGCTAGTCTGTGAGGCAGCTAAACCAAGTTGGTTCAGCTACTTTGTTAAAGAGCTCAGGCCTTGAGTTAAAGTCAAGATTTCTGCTGGTTTCAAGGTCCCAGGAGAGGTTTTGCATTCCTTCAGACAAAAATGGAGACAGAAGCCAGATACTTCTCAAGTCTAAGTCCTTCAAAGCTTCTGCCTTAATGGACTTTTTCTGTTGTTAGTAGGTCTCCGTTAGGTGCTGAGAAAACAGCATATCAAAGAATTTATGCCACAATCTCATTGATCTAAATCTCCAAGAGAAAAACAATCCTAGTAGATTGTTCCTGCCATCTGCCAAGCGAGTTGTCTTAACAACATCCTACAATACACTTCAAGCACTTAAGGAAACCAGCCAACTTTGCAAGATGATACGTACACTTTCCAGTGGAAGCTGTCACACATTTTGCAAATATGTCATGCGTATTTAACCAAATATTTGATAAATACGTGCAAAAGACAGAATGTCTTCTTTACCCATCAGGGACCAGCAAATCCAGCATTAGCAACTGATGATCATTTCTTGCTATCACTTTTAAATTTTATTAATACAGTCGTACCTTGGTTTTCGAACAGCTTAGTTCTCGAACGTTTTGGCTCCTGAACTCCGCAAACCCGGAAGTGAGTGTTCCGGTTTGCAAACTATTTTTGGAAGCCCAAATGTCTGACGGGGCTCCTGCGGCCAATCAGAAGCTGCGCTTTGGTTTCTGAATGTTTTGGAACTTCTGAAATGGATTCCGTTCGACTTCCAAGGTATGACTGTATTATAGTGTGCTTAGAATATATATAGATGACTTGTCATGCTTTCAATTTGGGTTTACACTGCACGTAACCACATGTGTCCAGGGAATGCAAAATATGTATTATACACTGCATGCTATATTATGAGAATCCAAAGCCACTTGCAGCTCCTCAAAATTGTTATGAATTTGAATGGTCTTGATTACTTTGAATTGGTCTCATCACTACTGTTTCGCCTCAAGTATCACCTGATGGGAATCATGTAATTGACAAAAGACAGTAATGGTTTTGAATAGCTGCAGATATGTATTCCTGAATAAGAATGTTACCTGCAGGAGAGGAGTCTGAGAAGTACCATAGCTCAGTGGTAGAGCATCTGTTTTGCATGCCTAAGGTCCCAGGATCAATCTCTGGCATCGGCAGGTAGGGCTGGGAATGTCCCCTATCTGAAACCCTGGAAAGCCACTGTCAGCTATTGTGGGCAATGCTAGATGGGCCCAGGGTCTGACTAAGCATAAGGCTGCTTCCTATGTCCACCATGCTTTGCATGTGTGTGTGTGAGAAACAGCCACATGGGCAGTTTGATTTGAGAGGACAAGAGCTGTAAGTTGAATCTTTGGGAATTGTTGTTCTCCATAGAGACTTGGTGCAAGATTGGATAGGACTCAGCACTGTTAGGCAATTTTCAACTGCTTGAACTCAATAGTTGATACAAAAGGCCAACTACATACTCTCCAACACCTGGACATCGAATTCCCAGTTACCATCTTCTCATTTTTTCTCATGAGAGCATGGTGGCCATTTTGGGAGCTGTTACCTTGCGAGATTTTGTGTCGTGATTTCCCCCTGATAAAAAAGCACATTTTTACAGGCCTGGCACCCAAAAAACATGTGTTTTTGTGCACTGAACAAGATTGTGCCTCCCCAAGCACTTTTTGAGGGGCGGGGAGTCACAGCGGGAAATCACATGAGATCACAGTGCCCAAAATTCTCTTGTGAGAAGAAACAGGATGTCCTGTTTTTTTCCTGGGAAACTTGTGGGGTATGCAGCTACCCAGGCCTGGTGGTTCTCTGTGCTCCTTCGCCCAGAGCTAGAGCCTGGGGGGCTGTGGCTGGCACTCACCACCATAATTTCATTACAACGTATCTGGAGTTCTAATGTAGCATTGAACTGGAGCAACTCTCTGGCAAGGCCCCAGAGGCACTGCGACGGCATTAAGATGGTGAATGCCAGCAGCAGAGCTTATAATAATAATAATTTATTATTTATACCCTGCCCATCTGCCTGAGTTCCCCAGCCACTCTGGGCGGCTCCCAACCGACTATTAACAACACAATACTTGTTGGCTGGACCTGCTTTCTTGCTACATCTGCATCTGGCTGACACTGGCAAGGAAACAGGAGGGAACTAAGGGCCCTTCCGAAATTGGTGCTTGTCTGAGATTAGTGGGTGTGCTCCCTGCTTAGAGGAGTATATGATCTGCCTCTATGTGACTCTTGTGCTCTTGCATTTTCATGTTGTTTCAGAGAAGAGGCCAGCTGAAAACGGATGTTCTTAGCAATAAACAGTCTAGGAAAGAAACATAGCTTGAACACAGTGCAACTGGCATCTTAGTCCTTGCCTATTTTGCTTACTTTAAGATGAAGGCTGGAATAATCTTTTGAGCTAGTATTTAAGATACTTTCATTTGAGTTTTTTGTGTGAAGGCCCCTTTGTATTTGATGTTGTTGCTTCTGTTTGTGCAGTTTTATTACAATATTTTATTTTTCACTGTAATTGAAATTATTTGGATGATTGTGTAAACCACATTGGTCTGCTTTGCCAAGAAGGGCAGGATAAACATTTTATTAATTAATATCTATACTTAATGAATTAATGGAATAAATAAATAAATAACATATTGCTTTGCAAATCTTTCTGGGAGATTAGAACCTGCTAACCAAAATGGCTAAACACATCAAAGGAGGGAAAAAAAGAAAAGTGTTACTCTTAGAAAGTTCTGGAAATGAATGAATGGATTTAATGTTTTAAAAATATCCAAAGCATTAATGAGCTTTATTTCCTCGAGTGTGGGCTTTTTCCAAGTCTATAATCTTCTGAGAGCTGAGCAGCCACTAGAGGTGCCTGGATTTCAAGCTGAAGATAGCTCTGTGTTATTCTCATTCCATGTTTTCTTGTCATGGGCACTCTGAATTATTATGTCTCTAAAGTCAAGGTTATAAGCAGTACTTAACTGAGTGGAGAAACGTCCCTGCTTTCCCCATAATGTAATTTTCTTTTTTCTTTCAAATACTTTTTATTGCTTTTTTGTAACAACAACAAATAAAATAAATACTCTTACATTCAAAAAATTGTATGTCTTTTTATTTACCCTGCGCCTTATTGCACCTGGACTTCCTTCCATCCCTTCAAGGGTTTTCATGTCTCAAATCTTTTTTTACAGTTTCTTATTTACACTCCATCCACATCACAAGATTTACATTAATCCTGCTACAGTTTTTAAATTCTTACAATTACTCCGTATATATTCAACAAATTTACTCCAATCCTTTTCAAACTTTGCTTCTTTTTGGTTCCAAATCTTATAAGTCAATTTTGCCAATTCTATGTATTCAAACATTTTTATCTGCCACTCCATTAAAGTTGGGATTTCTTGGGATTTCCATTTCTGAGCCACTAAGATTCTAGCGGCGGTCATTGCGTACATGAATAGTTTGTAATCTTCCTTTTTTAATTCATCCCCTGTTAACCCTAGTAAAAATGCTTCTGGTTTCTTTGGGAAAGTGTATTTAAATAGTTTTTTCATTTTGTTATATATCATGTCCCAATATTTTTTCATTTTTTCACATGTCCACCACATGTGAAAAAATTCACCGTCTTTTGTTTTACATTTCCAACACATTTTATTACTTACTCTATACATTTTTGCTAGTTTAACCGGGGTGATATACCAACGGTACATCATTTTCATTAAATTTTCTTTTAGAGTGGATAATGTAATTTTCTTCTCTCAGTTTGATCAGGAAACAAATGCAGAAACTGCTGAGAAAACTAGCAGTGTTTTCTGATAGGATGTGTGTCTTATCTGTTGATATTGTCAGGGTACGGTGAATACTTTGAGCATCTTTTGGCTTTCCAACTCACTGTTGCACATGGCTGGCTGAAACCATTTTGATCAGGGATGTCCAACCGGTTGATCATGGGATGATAGTGATCACAGAATGTAATATACACCCCCCCCCCCGGCTGTATGATCCCTCCTGCGCATTTTCCCCTGCCTATAAATTTCCCCTGCCTGTTCATTTGCAGCCTTTTCTTTGGTGTTTTGATCTCAACAACTCTGGTCCCCCCCCCAAAAAGCTCAACAACTCGGATCTCCCCCTCCCCAAGTAGCTCAGCAACTCTGGGCAATTCTCCCCCCTCTTCCCATTAGTCGCCACCTTGGGTAGATCACTGCCATTTTTTTTTATACTGGGTGTAGATCGCAGTCTCTTGGGAGTTGGATGTGCCTGCTCTAGATCAATGATGTAGTGCAGGACCTCTGTCTGGGAGATGCTTCTTGATCTGCCTTCCTGTTTATGATGTCATTCCCTTACTTAGTGTCCTCAGTCTCAACAAGGTGGCCATCAAACATTTGTGGTCAGAGTGGTCCTGACTGTGCAGAGTACACATCACTAAGATGTCTACCTCTATTATCTTTTCCTCCTTTCAAAAATACTATTTGATGTAATCTTCTAGCTTTTTTTTTTTAAGGACATGCAGTCACAAGATCATAATAACTCATCAGGAGTTTTAGATTCCTCAGATCTTTTTACTTCTCAATTTTATCTAATTAATTCTGGGACTGAGGGATAATTATGCACATTATGATAATGCTTTCCCCCAGCTAATATTTTAATTGCTAGCTGTCCCCATGCAGGGCTACGAAAGGGAATAAAAAGTCAAGAAGTCAGAATGAGTCATCTGAAGTAGCAGATGGAAGGAGGACTAATTGCACCAAGCAAAGGGAACTGTCCCTCCCTATATGCACAAGGAATTGGACTGTCTTGGAATGCAAAGGAGAAGATGATTCCAGAGGACAGATTTTGGATGAATATCTTATTACCTATAAATAAAACAATAGCACACTAAGTGGGTGATTTGAATTATTTCCAGTTTTATTTATTTTATATCATATCAGTGATTTATTTAAATTTGTTTCTTGAGCTCTTCCATTTAAAGGGGGAAAAAATCAGCTCTGGAGCAAGTAAGGTCAAGCCTGGTTTTACTAAAATTCTTGATTCAATCAGTGTATTCCCAATGTACTTCTGAGCCAGAAAACATTAATATTAATTTAGGTCTGTTCTGGAAATCTTTCACCACTTAAGCTTGCTAGGGATATTTAAGTATTAATAACATACACATCACTTTTGGAACACAATGTCTCCAATCTGGTTACTCATGAGGCCAGTTCATTCAGGACTTGAGAGGCCTGATCCAGCACTATGCATGGAGCCCATAAACTGGTCTTCAACTATTCAAATGGAGAAGATGGGTCCAAATGGGACCTCTCTGTGTTCAATCCTCCATATGAATACCAAAATTTCCCATCCAATTCCTGATTTTTCTCTGGACTTTAGCCTGTGTATAATATTGTATCAGAGTAGGTGACATTTGGATGTGCCATTCCTAAGCTGATGGTGGAGTTGTGTCTTAAGTATCATCCTCTAAAGTTTCATCCATGGTTAAGAAGAATCAAATCAGACCTTGAAGGACAAAAAGCAATGAATTTGACTGAAAGCGCGGACAATCTATCCAGTTGTTCAAGAGCAAAATTTTTTTTTTTAAAGTAATTTTTATTAAAGTTTTAAACAACAAAAAAAACAACACACACAAAAAACAACACAAAATTCAACAATAAAAAAACAAAAAACATAACAATTAAAAACAATATCTCTTTTCCATTTCCATTTTTAAGTTACTTATTTTCTGGACTTCCTCATACCTCCCTCTTTTGTATTCCAATCCAAATTATTTGTCCAGCAGTTTCTTTTCCACTTTTTAATCCCAATCTTTAGTTTGATAAAATATTAAAATATATAACTTCAACTTCTTTAAACCTAATCCTTGGTCTTAATATCATATACCATTAAAATTTTCCCTCTTAATATCAAATTTCCATTTCTTTAAACATCTTTAATCTTAATCTTTAATCTTAGTCTATCATTAACTTTAACCTGTACAGCTGGAAACCACTTGTTTTCAGTCCAACATCACTCTAACATTCCTTAATTTTGCAGTGTTTCTGAAGATAGTCTTTGAATTTCTTCCAATCTTCCTCCATCGACTCTTCTCCCTGGTCACGGATTCTACCAGTCATTTCCGCCAATTCCATATAGTCCATAAGTTTCATCTGCCATTCCTCCAGCGTGGGAAGTTCTT